TTTTTCTCCTACTCTTTACACTTATACCCAGTCACATACTTCTAAATAAAGCTACTTCACGCATACTCATTTTGAAGGGCGTGATGTAGCGCAGTGAGACCTTCAAATAAATTCTGTAAGTTATCTAGTATATTGCTGAAAAGGGATTCCCTACTGTCTCGCATTGCTAGGTATGCATGCATTAACGCATACTTGAGCATGCGTGGGTTTCACGACGTTTTTTGCCCAAGAAGACCGGTACTTCAGCATTTCCACAGCAATTTACAAACTATCGGATGATCATCTGTAACGATCCGTTGATAAGTTTGCATGACACTTCAAGTGACAACGCAGTTGCACGTAATTGCGCAGCATCATCAGGCTTTCCAGTGGTCCTGCAAAATCTCACCAAAGCCCACCGTGTCATGCAGATAGTAAAAGCGCCCACTTACACGGGCCCGCTTAAAAGCACTTTTAGCTGCTTTGAATTATGCAAGTTTATTACCAAATGATGCAATTACGTAACTTTGACAACAAAAACCAGGGACGCGGTCCTCTTTCCAGACTCGGACTTCTAAATGAATAAGTAGCTCTAGTTCGCAAAAGAAGACTGGTAACACGAAGAGGTGGGAAACTTTTGAGTGATTTGTAGGAATTTTACGCGATAAAGTGAGGCCAGTCCTTAAGTGTGTTTGCAACCGCCTCCACTTCTCTGCCAGTGTTCTTTCAAGCATGCTTGAAAGTACATCAGGCGCAAAATCACGCGACGACGCATCACACGACGCACTTAACTAAGTTTTCTGGTGGAAGAGAATAGTCAAGTTAAGTAGCAATATTAATGAGCATGGAAAATAATTTAAACCTAACCATTGCACTGTGTCATACTGACATGTGAACACGTATGCTTCCCCCAACCTGCTTAAACCTTGTCGGAAAAAATAAATACTAAATTATTGCGCATGGTTTCCGTGATTTCTTATGTTTTTACGCATATAAATGGTTCTTATAAATACCAAAAAATTCATCTATCGCAAACATCGTACAAGCACGTTTTTCAGTTAAATGTTGTGCTTGAAAAAAGAGACTACTTCGGTTTTCAACAGATTCTTTTATGAGAAGCTTAGGACCAAACTATAGCTATTTACGTTAAATAGTGAACGCATGTTCACTACTGTCGTTTCAAGTTGTAAAACCGATTCACGCGCATTGTAGTACGTCAAGAAAGCAAGGAAGTTTTGCATTGGCGACATGGAGAACTGTATTTTGTAGAAATTACAAATCTTTTAGACGTAACAGCCAGCTGGGAGTCAGAATGAATTTAACTCACCTGAAGTTCTAAGTACTGGAAATCCCCCAATCCAGCAATGAGGAATGGCACACTTCAGCTGCAATACTGACGGCATATTGTGCCATCCATAAATTGCCTGCGCAAGTTACGGGGGACAGTTGCCACCATTTTTTCACACATTCTCGCTCTCTGTCACATGATTTCAGCGAGGCGATATAGTGCCTTCGTATATACATATTTCGAGAGCACAGTAAAAGGGATATGGAGTTCGGCGCCAGCCCTGATTCACATAGCTGCGTTTTTACATTTGCAAAACGCATTTACTGTCGTTTTGTCAGCCGAATGTTGAAATTGTTAAAAATATTGAATGAGTTTGCTCATAGATCTCTTTTCTTCACTTATTTTATGCAATCTTTGACGTTCTAGTTACTTAGACTAACAGAATAGCGGCTAAGAGAACACATTACAAGGAGCTCTTATCTTTAGGCGCAATTCCTTTTCGTCAAAAAGGATTTTTGATTTCATGAAAGCAGCAACTATCCACGGTTTTGACAAAACTCGGTAAACATGGACAAAAGTACTGAAACTCATTTGCTTCTATAGATTAAAATACCTGGATGTAGTTGTTATGCTGATACTGGTGGACTGTAACCTTCCCAATCAAACACATGCTGACTTTCGATCAGAGACGTTCCCAACCACCTGCGGAAATTTATAAGTAAATGCAATCGCCACTTACGCAGTATAAATTATACGAGTTTCACAGTAATTCTGAGATCTTTGGTGCTGGACAATATCAAATGCACTCCAACAGATCGGCCAACGACCGTTTATGAATACTTTTGCAGAAATAGTCATTTAAATCTCCCTCAACTTGATCACAATTTCGTTCACATTTCTCATTTTTTATTGTTAAGCGCCAGCATACCAGGACCCTAGATTGGAGCTCAATTACGAAAAGGCTGAAGGCACGCTCTTTCCTTGGATTTAGTCGAGAAAACACTACGTCTAGCCGCATTTTGAATGTCCAGAATGTGGCTTAAATCGATGAGTCTGCTTATGGCTGCCCTCTATTTTCGTAAGGTTGTATGTCAAGATTACTGCTTTGGTCTTATGAGATAAGGCTTTTTTATCAGTTCTGCCCCAAGACTTCTTCTTCTTCTTCTTCTTCTTCTTCTTCTTCTTTTTCCTCTTCTTCTTCTTCTTCTTCTTCTTCTTCTTCTTCTTCTCCTTCTTCTTCTTCTTCTTCTTCTTCTTCTTCTTCTTCCTCATCATCATCATCATCATCATCAGTCGACGTCGGTAAAATGTCCAAAAATAGGCCTGGATAAGAAAATATACATAAATGTACATCGTACCCTAAATTAGGTTATGAGCCAGAACACTCAGTTTGGCTCGGACCTGTCCAAGTTTGTGATATTCAAGCTCTTCAAAGTGATCAAGACTGCA